TACATGGGCGTGGAATCCTTAGGCGGGGCCGAGATCACCACCTTCTTGCAGCCACCCTCAATGTGGGCCTGGGCCTTCTCCGTCGTCGTGAACACACCCGTCGACTCGCACACGTACGTGGCACCGGCCTTGCCCCACGGGATCTCCGACGGGTTGCGGGCGGCGAACACGTGGATCACCTCGCCGTTCACGACCAGGTTGCCGTCCTTGGTCTCCACGGAGCCGTCGAACTTGCCGTGGGTCGAGTCGTACTTGAACAGGTACGCCATGTACTCCAGATCCATGAAGGGGTCGTTGATGGCCACCACCTTGGTCTTGGGGTTCTCGATGGCGGCGCGGGCCACGAGACGGCCGATGCGGCCAAAGCCGTTGATACCGATGGCGACTTGCTCAGACATTGTTGATGGTGGGGGGATTTACTAAGTTCTTGCAAAATGAAGAATGAGAGCTTTGTGCAAGAAGAATCTTGCCAAGGTCTCCTCAATCTCTCCATGACGCGGCGTATCGATTGCTCATAGCACTTGCCCCGTCAGAGGGTTCAACACTGGAGCCTTTGTATGTGACACGGGGTACGTGGCGTAAAAACTTAGAATCTTCGATTGACCAATGGGATTGAAGCGTAAAAAGTAATTGATACTCTGTAAAAAAGTAAAAGATCGCGCTCCAAGCAGAAATCAGGAGAAAAACACGCGCCAAAAGACCTAACCCTAGCCGAATCTTTGTTTTCGCAGTGGTTCTGTTCATTTGGCATGAGTCTTCAACGTACGTGGCACGTCGTCAAGTGAGCATGCTTGGTGAAAGTGCAGCGAGTGGCTTCCACCACCAGCTGCATGATACCGCAGATGCACGCAATGCCCTTCTTGTCTTTCTAGACGCAAGCAATCGAGGAAGCGCCGCGGACAACTCCCAGTAAGCTTCGTTTCTGCTGTTGGAGTTGCTGCTAGTGCTGTGCAGCACGCAGCACAGTGTGCTGCACACTGGGATTGGAAGGGCTCGGCGACGAACAAGGACAAGCGTTGGCCGTGTAGACGTCGTTCTTGCATTGAAATTGCAATGTGTGTGCACTCGACACTGTCGAGTCGACAGACGACACGGAAGGCAAAGGTACCGGACACGTTCACGCCGTGTGCCTGGCAACACCTAGTGCATGCTGCGTGGGACTGGTTTGATCCTTGCTACGTGGAGACGCTAAATGCGAATTATGCTGGAGACTTGTGTTTGTTTGCTTTGGAGCTAACTGTTTGACGACTTTTTGCTTTTTTTCGTATGCGTATGGGATGCTGAAGATCCGCTCGAACTACCAAGGTTATGCTACCCCCGTGTACTGCGACAGTAAGCTCGGTGAAAACCTTCTATGACCACGTCAGCACGATGCTGGTGGTCGGCATAGCCAGCATTGCTTGCATAGGAGAACGCCTCGCAAGAGTGAGAGCCATTTAATGCAGGGCGCACACTGTGGGTAACTAAGCTATCAATGCTGTTATTGCATCGCCGGAACTGCCGTATTTGGGTGTGTATCAACAATTCGAAGAAGTGTGTGTAGATTCTAGCCAACGCTTGCAACGTAGCATATCCTAGCTAGTATGAACTACGTATTGCTGCTGTTGTGCATGCAGTGGGTTAGTGCTATCACCTCACATTATTGTAGCAGTTTACACCGGTGGCTTTCTTAAGTACTCCAACACTTGTCAATCCACTGGACCGTAGCAAGAGTTTCGATCCCGACGAAAAACCTGACGGTGTTATATTTCCTATTAACTGTAATTAAACGTAGCCATTCACGAGGCACAGTTCTTGTCGCTGCATGCAATGCAAGTACTCGCTGCGGCCATTCGACGCTTGCTCAGCCTGACCACTGGTCAGTGACCAGCAAGCATGGCACGTTTTTTTTTTTTTCACACGTCACAGGTTTGCAATCGAACTTGGAATTATGTGCCATAATCCAACCGGATTGTGCCGCTGACTTTTTACGCCGCCCTCTCATTGGCTCGTAAAAACTCAACTTCACTCTACGGTATCCCAGCAGAATATCCATGCGTGTCAATGCTCCGACGACGCAGTGACGTCTCCTCAAACCAGATCCATGCATGGCCGGCCGGGTAGCAAGCCAACGTGGCCATAGTTCACTCTTTATTTTGCATTGCAATCGAGACCCCATCCTAACATCAACACCAACTATGTCTGAGCAAGTCGCCATCGGAATCAACGGCTTTGGCCGCATCGGCCGTCTCGTGGCCCGCGCCGCCATCGAGAACCCCAAGACCAAGGTGGTGGCCATCAACGACCCCTTCATGGACCTGGAGTACATGGCGTACCTGTTCAAGTACGACTCGACCCACGGCAAGTTCGACGGCTCCGTGGAGACCAAGGACGGCAACCTGGTCGTGAACGGCGAGGTGATCCGCGTGTTCGCCGCCCGCAACCCGTCGGAGATCCCGTGGGGCAAGGCCGGTGCCACGTACGTGTGCGAGTCGACGGGTGTGTTCACGACGACGGAGAAGGCCCAGGCCCACATTGAGGGTGGCTGCAAGAAGGTGGTGATCTCGGCCCCGCCTAAGGATTCCACGCCCATGTACGTGATGGGAGTGAACCACAAGGAGTACGACGGCTCGGCGCCGGTGGTGTCGAACGCTTCGTGCACGACGAACTGCCTTGCGCCTCTGGCCAAGGTGATCAACGACAACTTCGGCATCGTGGAGGGTCTGATGACGACTGTGCACGCGACGACGGCCACGCAGCTTCCTGTGGATGGCCCTGCAAAGGGAGGCAAGGACTGGCGTGGTGGGCGTGGCTGCGGCCAGAACATCATCCCGTCGTCGACGGGTGCCGCTAAGGCTGTGGGCAAGGTGCTTCCGGTGCTGAATGGCAAGCTGACGGGCATGGCCTTCCGTGTGCCTACGCCGGATGTGTCTGTGGTGGACCTGACGTGCCGTCTGGAGAAGGCTGCGTCGATGGACGCTATCAAGGCTGCCGTGAAGGCCGCTTCGGAGGGCGAGCTGTCTGGCATCCTCGGTTACACGGAGGACCAGGTGGTGTCGAACGACTTCTTGCACGACAAGCACTCGAGCACGTTCGACGCGGAGGCGTGCATTGCTCTGAACGACAACTTCGTGAAGCTCGTGGCTTGGTACGACAACGAGTGGGGCTACTCGAACCGTCTCGTGGACCTTGTGCTGCACATGGCCACCGTCGACAACTAAGCGTAAATTGTACTACAATAGTAAATCAAGCTTTGCTGTTTGAAAGCATTCGGAAAATGTATCCGGTTACCGTTTCTGGGTTTTGAAAACGTTTGCAAAATAATTATCAAAATGGGTTTTCTTGGCCTGTTTGAGGTAATAGATGTGTTGTGGCTAATAACGTTAGTCCTTGGCGTCCTTCAGGCAGTCTCGTACTACGTAGTACTAGTACTAGTTGTTATCACCAGGTCCAGCAGCTCATAGGCGAATTTCGACCGTGTTGGATGATAGGCGATTCCTTGCATTGCGTAGTAGGTTGCATACTGGTACATATTATAAAGGCGTTTTCGCATTTATAAGTAGGCGTTAAGACGTTGCATTGCAAATTTATTGAAACCGAGTGCCGGTTGCACCTAGATCGACGTGTCAACGTATGCTTAGCTGCACCATGCTAGCATTGCGGGCACAAAAATTCAGCTACTTCCAACTTGAATCGCCACAATAGTTACTGCCGGCAGTTCCCATTGACGCACTTCAAAATTCGCAGACCAGCAGACAGGCAATCGGTCGTTAGAACGGAGGGGCATGTCTACCTGAACTCAAGTTGAAACTTCACCAAAAAGTCCTTGAACCCAACGCAAATGCCTCAGCCACGAGAGTCAAGTGTAATGCATGTATCCATGTATCCTTCAGTCTTCATATCATTTCGGCAACTTCAGTTGGTAATGATGGCCATCATCACGGGAGATGCACAAAGATCCCGCGACGTCAACACTATCTATCCAGTGGCTCGAGTGGCACGCGACAAACTCCTAGAGCTGACTGAAGTTCAGCTAATGCAAACACTATTGTAGAGTACATGTACTGAAATGTGTTTTTTGTGTAGTGGTCTTATCACCGCCGCGTACGTCAAGTCATGCACTACCTCGTACATGAAGAAAAATGTACCTGTCTGTCTCTGCGTATTCCATACGTCTGGAAGAGCTTCTTGGGGGTTCAAATGCCTACCTCTATAATAACAGCGCCATCATCCGGACCAAAAGCGTAGGCGAGAAAAAAAAAATAAAAGAGAAGAGCACGGGAGACAAGAAGAAGCTCACGCTCGCGAGAGACGCACCAGGTTATGCCGTATCGCTGTGTGCCCGGGTTCCCAGCCCGGTGTTCGACACCCGCAGGTCGCCCTCAGTGCAGATCTCGTAGCACATATTGCACACACGGGTGTTGGCCGATGCTTTCTCGGCCTTATTCTTCTTGCCGCGGCGACGGGCCGGGAACGGCAGTTTCTTGGCCCGCACGTGGCACGCCGAACAGGCGGAGCACAGTACCCGGCCGCACATGCGGCAGTGGTGTCTGCGCGATCCCAGACTGCCAAATTTCTTCTGGCACTCCATGCATTCTGGCCGCTCGCTGTCCGGTACCCATACCGGTGGGTGGGCCACCTTGGCCATAAGCATCTTGAGTTGGACCGGGTCCACCTTGTCGAAAACCGTCTTGCCCGACTCGTCCTTGAGGTCGAGTCTGGCCCCGTGGCGCACGAGGCGTGTGGCGATCTGGATCAGTCCCTTGTCCAGGGCCACATGCAGGATCGTCGATTTATCCACTGGAGCATTGGCGTTCGCGCGGTGCTGCAGTAAGATCTCCGTCATGGTCGGGTCGTCCCTCGTGACGGTCAAAATGTGCACACCCAGCGGCGTCTGGTTGCGCATATTGAGGAAATTGACGTCGGCCCCGCACTCCAGCAGCACTTTAGTCATGCGGCGCGACTTGGCCGCGGCCAAATGCAGCGCCGTGTTGCGGCGGTTGTCGGCCACGTTGACGATGGAGCCGCGCAGCTGCGGCATGAGCAGCGCCTGCACCACATTGAGGTGGCCGCCTCGAATAGCGAAGTGCAGGGCCGTCTGGCCGAACATGGGGTCGCGTCGGAGGATGTCCGTGCCGGCCTGGATGACTAGCGCATTTACCAGCACAATGTCGCCGGCCCGGGCCGCCTGCAGCAGCGGCGTCAGGCCATCGGGCGTCGTGCCCACGGCCGACGGTCGCTGGTTGTTGTTGTACGCTCGACGGTAGCTCTCGTCCATGCGCATGAGCGCGTTGCCCATTTCCGTGGGCCGGCCGCCACTGTTCGAGCCCGAGTCGTGGTTGGAGCCGGGCTCGTGGCCCGGCATGAGGCTGTCCCGGAAGTTGCTCTCGCGCATGTTGATCATCTCCTGCACGTCAAAGCTGCTGGCCTGCTGTACGCGGCGGTAGTCGAACGAGTCACGACCGGGGGCTGAGGCCGGCGCCTGGCTGTACGTATCGTCGATGTCCTCCTCATCGCCCATGGAGTAGGCCTTAAAACTGGCCGTGCTGCTGGTACTGCTGTTGGCCGGCACAGTGGCCGCGTACTTGGCCGGCGATTGCGGCGCGTAGTCGGCGCGTAGATTATCGATTTCCACCTCAGCAGAGGGCATGGTATTATAGCGAGCAGAGAGAAGGAGAAGTGACGAGGACGAAGGTGGCGCTGGGTTCTCGATAGTAACGAACGTCACGAGCTCTAGCTTGAAAAACTCCTACTTGCCTCCAAGCCTCTACTTGACTTATGAAAGAGCGAGCGGCAGAGTCTGAACCGAGAACGGCGGATAGAAATGGGCACGGGAAGTAAAAAACGGGTAGGATTATGAGGACCAATTTTCAACCCTTTTTTTGGTTTGTAAACTGGAGGTTAGGAGAACCTCTGTATCGTTGCACGCCTAAAAGTCTGATGGCAGGCTTTTGCTTACACGTCACTAGGGTTTAGTACCCAGAAAGCAACGAATCCAGTACATATATCATACACTTCTCGCTGGCATTTGTGCGTGTTGTCAAGAGTGATTCCGCCTAATCGTAGCTCGGTGAGTAGAGTGGATGTATCAGCCTCTGAATTTGGATCAAGCGTTCATTGGGGTGCAAACCCTTGAGCCAAACACTGGACTTACGTTCACAATTGCCTTAAGGCCGCGCAACAAGTGCAACAAAACGACTAAAATGTGCTGCAAGAGAAGTCACGTTAATGGCTCCATTTTTCCAGTATGCTGGAGGTGCCCATTCTGGGTATAGTGGAATCCATAGCACGTGACCTCCGATGTCGAGGAATGGGCAGTAGTACCCACCTTTCGGCCCACTTTTGATCTTTTTTATTATGGTGGGCCATAAGCTATGAGCAGTCAAGGCAAGAACTTTTTTTTTTCAGAAAAAGTGCTTTATGATGTTTCGCTTCCCGTCTGCTATGGTTGCATAACGGGCATACTGAGCCCAAGTGAAAAACCGTCGCATTGAACCTCCAAGTTGGAGCGTAAACTCAATTTTTCACGGATCTTCACAAAAAGTGGAGAATGCGTACAAATGCATGTCTTGCATGTATCTATGGAAGTGTCAATGGAAGTGACAAGTTGTCACTGGCAATTGCCTCGACGGAGGCAACTTGCTCTGCTGTCCGTTGCAGTGAATCTTCGACTGGTATCACAGAGTTGAGATCCGCTACGATCGATCGGATGCCAGTTACGAGTCACAGCGGTGAAGCGCTCCATAGCATGCGCATGACAGGATGCGAGTACGAGAAGTTAATCCACACACCTTCGCATGGAGCCCAGTCCACAGAAACTGTAAATCCAAGCGGAATTATTTTACGACGACAGCGTCGTCATGCTCCTGCCAGGTCCATCAACGTCGCAGCATCGAATAATGGCTCTCTGCAGTCTCCCCGCCCCCGCAATTGCTGTCAAAAGTTCAGAATCGCTGTGAAGGGTTCGCTTCATCCTTCCAGATAGCAAGGAATTCCGAGGGTCTTGGGTACGGTCATGCCGCGGATTTCGCAGCAAATTGCATGACGCTATAGTAGTTTTCGTGCTCCATGCTTCGGTTACTTCGAGCACGCTTGGGTTGCAACAATGTTGACAACAAGGGATTGGCAAAAACTATCTCAGTTAGCATTTGAACCGAGACTACCAACATCTGTGTCAATGCGCTGTTCAAAATGGCTCCATTTCTTCACTGCCGTCGCTCCCGCCATAGAAACCCATCGTTACGAAGAATGGGGAAACTTTTGCACAGCCAGTTTGGCCACCAGGGTGTGACTCGCTCTTTTCGCTCTGGGATCCTGCGAGGCGATTGTATCCGGGGCCCACACAGATCTGACGCTCATATAATAGAGCTTGTCAAGTTGGTGACACCAAACCAACTACAGATACATTTTCATCGTCGTTCCTTTAATATTTACTAAGCAAATACTTATCTACTACTTCGAAGTACTACTATTTACGTTAATAATAAGTACCTTGTATGTAAAAAAAAACACCTTATTCTTAAAATTCCTGCCCTTCTTCATAATCCAGCTCTTCGATCTTTGCGAGGATGCGGCGGATGTTTCGCCGAGATACCTCGTCAGCGACCACTTCGTCGTACAGATGCTCCAGTTCTTCAACGAATCCCGGTTCCGCTTCAACAAGGAAGTTGAAGCATTCAGGATACACACAAAAGTTACCAAGAGAAAATAGCACAATGCGGCGCGAGGCCGTGCTAGTTTCCGTCATGGCCAATTCGAAGAGTTCCCATGGGGCTTGGTGACTACAGAGCGCCTCGCATAGCTCGTCCGAGTTTCGAACGAGATTTCCGAGTGCTCCTCCAGCATTCGAGCGTGTTTTATCCTCGTCATTATGAAGGTTCTGCACCAAAAGAGGAATCGCCGGACGAAGTGCGTCATACAATTCCCCAGTGTGGAAAGCTGCATTGCCAATGGCAAAACACGCGAAACGTCGAACGTAGTTGTCGGGGTCGGATAGCCCTCGGATCATTCCAGCCAGAACCGTGTTTGACGCTTTTCCGTTTAGTGGCGTTACGAACTGATCATAGAACAGTGTCGAGTGTCGGCACAAATTCCCGATACAGTTCAACGCCTTTGCACGCACCATTGCCTCTGAGTGCTGCGTTAGTTCGAAGAACTCTGATAAAAGATCCGCTTTTAGAATGCAGTCGTAATTGTTCTGGGAACTGCGTGCCAGTTGACTCACTATTAAGAGTGTGTCGATGATTAAAGAGGGTGAACAGTTGCCACTCAACATCCCACACTCTTTAATGACCAGCATTCCGTCCGCTTCCACAAATTGTGACCCAAAATGCGTCGAACTTGTCACGAGTCGAGACAAAAAGCTGATCGGTAGCTCTAGCACTGACGCCTCGAGTTGCAGCTCTTTCGTCGAGAACACGAACCGGAGCACCCCGAGCAGTTTCTGTACGCACTTGGCATCGTACAGGATTTCTTGTGTATCCACAAGGAGCTCCTCCGATACACTGTGTGCAAATGGAATGCCCAAAACCTTCACAGTGGCATGTACAAGCGCCTTGACGGCATTGGTGCCCCCTCCAACGATCTCTGGCCACTGGAAAAGGTACTCAATGTGTTTCAACTCGAGTAAATTCACCAAATGCAGCAAAAGATGTTCGTTGACCGCGATTTCCATTTGTGGCTCGTTGCATTGCATTTCACGCACAATACGCAATAATTTGAGAAAGCAAAACAATCCCCAAGGCGAGAGGAGATCTCCACCGCCAGTTGCCATCATTTCGTCGAACACCTCCCAAGCTTGATCATGTTGGAAAACCGACATGAACATATTCATCTCATCGGATCGAGTCGCTCCATCTCGCAATGGAGCAGCCTTCGACGCCACTCTCAGTAAGAATACAATTCCACTGTCCAGCAGTCCCTGTGCTCGAATATTATAACTTGTGAGCATCTGCGCTTTACTATCTTCCTCGGGGGAATTATTGCTGAATAATCGAAAAACCGCATCAGAACATTTCGAAGGGAGCGCTCCATGGACTAGCAGGTTCCACAGCTCCTTATCCATCGGTTCTAATTTATCAGGGTCATTGTTGCCAAGTGCAGACTCGTCAATGTTGCAAGATTCGACGATTTCAGCGAAAAACGTGCTCAATGCACTCAACAACGCCGTGTCGTTCGCTGCGTGAAGCACTGGGAACAAAGTCTGTGCGCATCGCCATATTTGCCGCTTTGGAAGCACACCGCGACGCAGGATAACCGACAGTAATTCCGTTGCAAAGTACTGCTCAATCTGGTGTAAACATCCGGATGAAAACCCCCAGAGCAGAATAGTGAAAATATCTGTGTCGCGGTGTTTCTGGAACACAATTTTCGTGACTGTAAGTTTCTTCGAGAGAGGTGCAGAGGACCGACACGAGTGCATGAGAATCTTTAGAATGCAACAGATAGTGGACTGGTCTGCGTCTTCTTCTCCAATATCTTCGTCATCGGCTTCGCTTTGTTTCAGTCGCACGCGTTCGCTAATTTCATCCCCGAGCAAAGCGATCAGTTCGCCGACGCCACTGCTAAGAAGCTGCGAGCCAACTTCCGAGTGGACTTTAACACGCAGTTTGTATAGGGGTCTTACATTGGAGCTCTCCATCGGCACGTTATCGTCACGAACTAAACTCAGTACAGGGAAAGGCTGCAGAGGACTCCAGCACTTCGCATCAGGCTGAACGAAAGCAGCCAATGCGAACACAGAATAGAGACCCAAATCTCGACCGCTTTTAGAGATTCTGCCTCCAGGAGACCGTGAAACACCCGAGGTATGCAGGATTTTGCACAGGGTTTGGATCACTCCAGACGGGTACACTACCTCGAGTAATGTTGTGAGATTTTGAGATCGATCGATCATTGATCCGAGCCATTTCAGAGCTTTCGAGTGAGAAGCAGCCACAACTTCGTCCTTGCACGTTAACACCAGAGATATCACGTCTACGTCACTTTTGCAGAACTCGCGGTAATCTAGTTGTTCTAAATCGGTTCCAGAATCGATAGAGTTGACGATCGTCGTACAGATCATGCAGCATCGCACACATTTGTAAATCACGTCACTCATTTGTTCCTGGTCGGATTCTAGCGCCCCGTTAATCTCCACTACGTGAGTCAGAAAGCGGTGGATATTGTCTTTTGACTGCATCAAGCTGCCAAATTCTGTTAGTTGGTCGGAATTCTTCAGTTGCAGCACCAAAGATCGGTACAACAATTGGAGCAAAGACCCGATTTTTGACAAAATATCATTGGAGAACTCATGAGTAGGAATCGACGATAGCAGATCGACAGCATTGGCGAACAGCGGAGAGCTCATAAGCTCTGCATCCACGTGTTTCACGTCCATTTCTCGACTGACGCGATCCCAAACAACGAGAAAATTTTCCAGAGCCACGGAATGAACCGGTTTAGCAGGTTCCGGGGGTGAAGAAGGCTCACGATTGTTACTTAGATCTTCCGTTTCCGTGGTGTTTTCAACAGGAATCTCCGGTTTAGACAGCTGTCGACCGGTTTCTGGGTCGCATATCTTCCACTCGTCACAGGAACGCAGACGCTCCACGCTCGGCTTCACCTTCTCCTCATTTTCGTCTGCTGGAGGCTGATGCAGCTCGTTTTCCTGGAAGAATCGTGGTAAAGTACGGACTTGTCGCTCGAGCTGAAGGCGGGTCTCGAGTTGTTCAGGTGTTTCCTGTATGAACGGATGTTTCAAGATCTCAGGCCACTTGAGTCTCTGAGCGGGATCTTTGTTCAATAATCCCTTGAGAAAACTCTGGAAATCCGCAGACATTGTGGACGGATACTTGACATCGTCGCGTACGATCATCTGGATCAGCGACACTATCCGGTCTGTGTAGAACGGGGGTCTCCCTGTTGCAAGTTCGTACAAAATCACACCTAGAGACCACAGATCTACTGTGTAATTGTACGGCTTTTCTTGCACTAGTTCTGGAGCCATATACAGTGGCGTGCCCTTGATCGACCTCAACAGACTCGTATCGTGTGCAATGGCACGGGCGAAGCCGAAGTCGCACAGCTTGATCTGCTGCTTGGAGCCAATGAGGATGTTCTGGGGCTTCATATCTCGATGGATAATGCGGTTCGAGTGCAGAACATGAAGAGCTTGAATGAGTTGAATGGCGATCTTCCTGATCTCTTCTTCAGGCAGACTGTGCTCGTCCTCCAGGACCTGGAACAGCTCTCCCTGAGCGTATTCCGTCACCATACAGAACTCCCCTTCCGTCTCGAACGAGTCCATCATTGCAATGATGTTGCAATGATTCAGTCGTCGGAGGATATTGATCTACCCATTGATAATGGAATGTTAGTTTAGGCTTTGCTTTTTGTTTTTTGTTTTAATGTTGAAACCTACTTCCTGGCGGAGATTCTCGAGATCTCGCGCGCTTTTGCCCTGCTTCGTCACGAATTTGAGCGCGACGATGAGCCCCGAGTACTTGCGACGGCCCCGGTAGACCTTCCCGAAAGACCCTTCGCCGATACGCTCCAAGATGTGGTAGTTCTCCATGATAAAAAAAACTACGAACTTGTAGAACTTTCGATGAAAAAAACTAGGAGTTGCTAGTATTAACCTTCTTCAACTTCGTAATGTTGGCGGAAGGTGCCCCGAAGGTCGCTCCCCACTGCCTCCTTTCTTCGCACACATACAGGCCCCCCACTAAGTACGAGAAATAAGCGCCTTTCTTCGCACTTGGTGCGAATCAAGACGAAAAAAACCCATTAAAAATTTAATGGGGTTTTTCCGTCTGAATGGCAAAATCGGTCAATCAAGTGGGATGTTAATGGCGAGAAGGACGCATGCTGATTGGCTAGGTTGGCACCACCGGCCAATCAGATCTAACAAAGCAACGAGAATTTACTGTAAAATTGTATTACTACTACATTTCTGTAATAGTACTATTTTGCTTCCTAGAAAATGGATCACGATGCTACTCGCTCCATGTACTGATATTATTTAAATCAGTAATCTGGATGTATACTTCACTACTATTCAAAATAATATTAACGCTGAATATAGCTGTTTCCACAACACAGCAGGATCTGTACGCATACTGGAAGAGTAGTAGATGCTGAGCGCTAGGAGAAGACCTCGAATCTGCATTTGGAGTCGAGCTTGAGGCCAAGCCCTTCGTGGTTGTCTTGAATTAGTTCATTGTTTTCTTTCGAGTATCACTCAAGTAGCCTCACAAGCATAACTTGCATCATACAGCAGAACAACCACCAAAGGCGACCAAGCTTCTCACACGTTACATGCCTAAATCGATTTCCATGCCGGCCCTTGATGCGCTTTTGTAAACTGTGTGAAAAAGAGATGGCACGTGCAGTCTGGGCTATATCCTAAAAAAATGTGTTCCTTAACAAAATGCTTGTTCTTTCTGACCGCTTCGCGAGCAAGCCCCTGGAATTGTTTCAATGATCGTGGGTGTAATTTGTAGATACGGTTGAATACTGTACAACCACCGGTGCGTGATTACATATCTATCAATTTCAGTTTTTAGATATTATCTGTATATCATACATGCCAGAGTGTTGTGGGCTATCCAGAGCCACGAGACGTGAATTCCTAAATGCAACTTACTATTTTGTCGGAATGGGATGCATGCATCCTGCTGTTATACACAAGATATTTACAGACTATACAGAAGAGGACACTGCCATAGCATTGGGCCCAGAAATGCTTCCGCCTCGGCAAGTCGACTACTTTGACACCCTTTTTACACCGCGACAATGAAAGGATCCCGATTACATGTAGTGCAAGAGTCTAACGATATCCTAGCGGTTTTCACTATCTTATTGAGCTTTAAAACGCTCGAATGCTGTTACGAACCAACAACGCTAATGACAGTCCAAAGGTGTCTCTGTCGAAGCGCCAACTTGCTTCAATATGAAAAGAAAGCTTGCAAGGCGGTGAGACTATATAATATACAGAACTGCACCCCGTTTTATCGCCCTCGGATGTCTGATAAACGTCTGGATGTAATGCTCTCTTGCCAAACATCCTCGGGTTTCTATGCTGAAACCTGATGTGTTTGCAAATCCTATATGGCCCACCACCGCGAAATCGGGGTGCATTACTGTATATATTTATGATCTGAATATGGTCTGGACATTGGGTGCCTTCCAAAACCTATATAAACGGTTTTACCAGTTTAATCGACAATTTAATTTTAAATTACAGAGCTGTTTCATGTGCATCAAACCGGTTGCTGGAACGCGACCTTCGGGTATAGTGAAGTTCAGTCATGTGTTAATCACGTTGGTACTTAAAGTCGGATTTACATTATTTGATGAGAACTTTTTGGTCTCATGTAGGTTTTATCAGTGTGTGATGCAACTCATATCGCATGATCATGGACCATGTGTCGAGTTTAATTACCAGGTGCAAATTGCACTGCCCACTCCATTGCTGTAAATATATGCTTTATAGCTATATATTTATGAAACATAAATTGGCAAGGACGTAGTTTCCCAACAAGAAAGCACTGTTACTCAGCCTAAAAGTACCAAGTTGGTACTTTGGTACTACCAACTCGGATCGAATACACTGTCTATCCATTCCGCTTTGGTTGTACAGCTATCATGAACACTCAGCCATTCACGACACCGCGACTCACTCCCAGTCATCGACTCGATAACAACGAGACTGCAAGGACCGATCCTAATTTAATCATTTTACAACGGTCATCCATCATGTCGATATACGTGCCTAGCTTTGTCCAAGTCCCGTATATCGACAAAATGGATGACACAATTATCGTGAGGTTCTTGAGCTCTCAACCTCCCACTATCTCTTTATAGTCACTCAGGAATTACATTGAATTGAGTGCTTTTTTTTTTTCTCTCTTCCAGGGAAAATACTATATTAACATGTAAAAATAGGAGATATACTGTGATGAGTGAGCATTGCTAACTCACTTGCTGACATACGGTTTTGGTCGATCCCGTTTTTGATCATGATTACGTGAATACTAACGCCTGGACAAGCTAGGCATGTATATCGACACCGCGGATGACCGATTTACAGAGTGCGAGGTTCTAGAGAGATTTTTGTTCATTGTCGTTTTTTCCGTCTTCCAGTAACTCAAGACTACAATGAAGCTTATCCTCCAAGTCCTGACAACGCTGGCGTTTGCGGCAGGTGTCGCTGCTGCTTTACAAGATGGCGTTCAACTGGGCGTGACTCGTGGTGGGCCTCATGGCGATGCGTACTCGGACCTGGAGATCGTGTCGCCAGGCCAAACTGTGCATTCCATCACGATCCGCTCTTCTGATCGCGTGGACGCCGTCGGCCTCAATGTGACGAGCCCGTCCGGTCAGAATACCATCCTGTACCACGGCGGCGACGGCGGTGACAAGGACACACGCTGGCTAGCGAAAGGGGAGCACATCGTTGGAGTGGAGGCGCACTGGGATAAGTACTACCGTAAAACGCGCCTCGTGTACATCAAGTTCACCACCGATAAGGGAAATGAAATCTATGGCGGAACTAAAACGGATGATTTGAACAAGAAGGCTAGCGAGACCGCGCCAAAGGGTTTCCAGTTGGGTGGTTTTGTTGGTTACAGCGGCAAGGAACTGGACTCGATGGGTCCCATTTGGACGAGCATCAAGCCGGTGAAAAAGTCTTGAAATATGCACGTGTCGACAGATGAGTGAAGTGCAATGACACTGGTCGAGAGGGCGATTAGTTGTTTGCGGTGGGACTTCTACGACGTCAACTACGGGGTAGTATGTGAACGAGCGAACACACAATACAACAAATATGACCTCCGCATTGGTTTCCTTAAACAGGTAATGATGGCTATTACTCGAGAATGACATATTTTTTATCACTGTAACCTGACTGACATCCCCATACATGCAGTAAAACTACAAAGATATTTTCATCTCCATCCACCTCGGCCAGGGCGGCATCAAATTATCCACTTTTTGCGATGTTACATCGCAAAAGTGGATAATTTGATCATGTAAAAAGTCTACTGGGATGATATACTTGATATATCTATGCTTCATAAAATCTGTTTACGTGTTAGGTTTTCCAGAAAGGTTACATGTTCGCCGTGATTTACGGTAGTGCTGAAACAGCCCAGCAAAGGATTAATTCAGTGGGATGGTCATCCCAGTATACCGGTATAGGTACCAGTACGTCAGTAAGCGATATCCTAAAGCTTTCCATGTTAATGTGGTAGGATGATCCTTTCCGCCATATCAATACGGATACCAGTATGGTAAATAACCTGGCTCCCAAAACTTACTTGTGGGCGGAACTTACCAGACGATTATCTTGTTTTACCGGAAAGAGTTACATTTGAGGGTACGAATAAGTTATTACAGTGAATACTGTTCACGGGAAAGAGCAATTCGGTCTGCATAAGGCCCTCACCAGCCCCGGATGGCTAGGCAAGACAAGGCCCACGTCATCGACGAAGTGTTTCATAGCGCTGCTATTGCTGTTTATTGCTCTTACGAATTTTTAAAGTCACATTTGTCAGTCCACCGCGTTTGAAGAGGTGTTCGCTCCGTATTCACATTAGCGAGCGTTATTAACTCTACATTATACTTGTTTGTTTGTTTGTTTGTATTCCTCAAAGGTATGAATCTGCTGTAGTATGCAAGCAAGGGTGTTTGGCTCGATACCACCTTTTCACAAAGCCAATCTCGACGGTTCTATAAAGAATACGACTATCAATCACTAGAACATCGGACTACAATATATCTACACTAACCACTAACCGCCGACGAGGCTGAAGGTTTCTTTTAAAATAAGATGCGATGAAACTAGTGTTGCCACCTGAACTATAATATCCAGTCTCATCGGGCATGTAACTCCCAACTGTGTCTTCTTCCTTTCTCCGGGACTTCATCTCCGACGAAACTGGAAGTTATGCCTGTGACAGCGACATACTCTGTCACTGTCACTTGTTTGATTTTAGTTTGGCTAGTTTGGTACCGATTTGATATCGGTATACCAGTGCATTCGTTGCTTCCTATCTCAGTACAGATTTGTCCTAGGGTAAGTAAGTCCGATTTAGCTACCTGATCAGGTAACTCTGATGATACTTCAGTGGGACGTCATTCCCAGTTGACCATGCCTTCCACGACAACGAGAGAGATTAGTATAGAGGTTAGTGGGGAATAAATACTCACTACATGTATGCATAGTGTAGCACAATTGTCATGTAACACGATATTATGATCGTTTATGACAGCTAGATTTGGCATACTCGCTGATAGGAGGTGTCCCAGCGAATGAATCCTGGAAGCTCTGATAATACACGCAAGCGCACTTATGACGAGGAAATGCCGCGATTGCAGCACAACCTTCTCTTTGGAATTAACGCTATGTTTTGCGAAGACTTGCCGCATCATCAAGAATAGTCTACCATTTTTCGTTCGGTGAATGCAAGGGTTCTATGACACTTCGTGATCTTACAAGGGCACCGTGAGAGCCAGTGCCAATACCAAGGTATTGTCCGCCCCACACTTAGCGCGTTGTTATTGATGTCACGAGGTAAGGCTCGTGATTCGAATTACAGTGTTGCTTTTGGAAAACATCAGAACGTCTGGGTATTTCGCCTACACTGTATAAATAAAAAGTCGTTATCGACGGCGGTGCTGTCGGGAAGGTCGATAATCGGAATGTTGTTTTAAAGGTGTTCAATGAATCCAAGAACAGAGCGGAGAAGAATTTCCTGTTGCCAATCAACAAGCTTTATTTGGAGCCGGGCCACCCTACTGTTTTAATCATATTGGCTCCCTACCAAATCGTGAGCCTGGGCTCTGGCTCAGCTCGTCCCTCCCATGGTCTTACCAAATCCTTACTTGAGATCTCTACAGCAAACTGTGGGAATTCTGTGTCAAACTGTAAATCGTTTTACATGTGATGAGAAACTATTAGATTCTTTCCGCACCAACGAGCCCTGATCTGGATACCGTGTAGTTCAGTTTGTAAGTGGTGTTGGCATTTGATACACCATTTCCCGAGTAAAGTGAGAATTACTTACAGCATATTCAAAGTGCATACGGCACAAGCATACAAGGTCTCGGCTTTATGTTTCGCGAGGGAATCGACCAGTCAACGGCTCTACACAAAATATAATATTTTGACGTCGATTGGAAGATAAGCATATAAGTGATTGCAGGTTATCTCGCTTTGATTTTAGCATTTCCACTTTGGAGAAATTCTCACAATGGTGTACGCGTAGATTTTGTGATTTGCGGAACCACCTAGTAAAGTAATAAAGTAAATATGACGTTGCGCGATTGGTTGTAGGCGGAGTTATTTCTTCCGACACACAACATGGCATGAGGTGCGGCAGGCTGCCTTTAGTAACCGCTAGCAAAAGCAAAACAGGACCCACCGTTGGCTTTGATTATGAAATGGAGCTGTTGATGCGGTGCATACGTACGATTATGCAGTTGTAGTGTTGACGCTGTCATTGAATAGTTCATGCAGACAGATGTCTGCTGCTACATGTAGTGTCGGCCGAATTAAGCTGCTGCAGTGTGTCGTCGTAGCTCGTCGGGGGCTCATTCATTCGGAGCAATACTCCACAGTAGCAAAATACACCGCGGTGAGTGAGCGCTGCCAACTTAGCAGTGCTACATGTATTATTAAATAGATAGCAGGGCTAACTCACGGGCTGGAACGACATGCAAATATGCGGTTTGGTCGATCCCATTTTTATCATGATTACGTGAGATCAAGCCTTGTACTTGGTATGATGAAAGTCTTAATCTCACGTAATCGTGACACAGCACATGCATGGTTTCGGAGGGATCTTGAGTTCATTGCCAATTTTCCCTTCTCCCAGCAACGCAAAATAACAATGACGCTTATCATCCAAGTCTTGACTACGATCGCGTTGGCGGTAGGTGGCGCTGCTGCTTTGCCAGAGGGCGTTCGACCGGGGAAGACTTTTGGTGGACCTCACGGCGACGAATACTCGGACTTGGAGCTCGTTTCGCCTGGCCAAGTTGTAAATTCCGTCACGATCCGCGGCTCTGACCGCGTGGACGCCGTAGGTCTCGACGTGACGGACCCGGATGGTCAACAACTTCTTCTATACCACGGCGGCGACGGCGGTGAATCGAAGACTCTCATCCTATCCAAAGACGAACACATCGTCGGGGTTTTCGCGCAGTGGGTAAAGTATTACCGCAAAACGCGCCTCATGTACCTCAAGTTCACCACCGATAAAAACAATACCATCTCTGGTGGGTATTATGACAAGGAAACGGACAAACAAGACAGCGACAACGCGCCAAAAGGTTTCCAGTTGGGCGGCTTCGAGGGCTACTGCGGTAACGAACTTGACTCGATGAGATCCCTTTGGACCAGCATTGAGCCTGACCAGCAAGATTGAGGTACGCACATGATCACAAGGCGGTTGTTTGTAGTTGGACTTCCATAGCGTCAGCTATAGGTAGTTAAATAGTAGTTTGTGTAAACAGCAAAATTCACAAACGAACAAGAACAATTTCGATAAGCTAATTAATTTGGAGCACCATGATATTATCACATATTGCGTGGTACTGTACTTTGATGAAGTAGCTTGCTAAAATGTAATCGAAAAAATAGTCGTCGTCGTGGAACATCATTGATAAAGGCCACGGATCGATGGCATACTAGGTGCGTAGAATAGATATATTGTCCCATGGTCGACAGCGTCAATTGACAGTGTCAATGGAACTCCACGGGACAACCCGGCTGTATCTATTCACTGTCAATTTGACAGTGAGTATGACAAGCAACTTTGATGGTGCGTCGCCTGGGGAGGTCTTTACTGACAACCTCCATACTGTGGAGATCGGCTGCGCGAAGCATGCCAGATTGGTATGTCGGTATTGTAATTCCAAATTCCCAATATAAAGAATAACCTACTCTTTCTTAGAATATTTTTTTTAATGATTTTTAGCTGATTAGATAATGCTCGATGTTTAATTGGATGAAAATATAGAACTACACTTTTCTTTATGGTTCATTTAGGCGGCACAACACGTTCGCACTTCTTGTCCGCGTCAACCTTGACGGGGTCGATACGGGGGGTCTATTATGATATATCGGCGAGTTCAATGGACAAGTCCTAGGCGACCACTGAGACGGTATTTCTCTCCACCAATCCGTTTATTATTATGCCTTGTCCAAAAAGATCCTCGCCGTTTCGTGTGGATCAAAAGTCTCTCCATAAAGGCGCGTGACATCCTCCCAAGTACCAGGACTAGCATGGCCCGAAGCTGCTTTCGACGGCTCTGGCCGTCACGCATTCATCTCGTGATGCTGCTGTTCGGATTACTGTTAATCGCTGTTGCCAACGCCGCATTTTTCACTCCCGAGGACGTCCCCGGTCCACCCGAGAAGATTCTGGTATCTCCAGCTAGTGACACATCGATGCGTGTGCAGTTCTTCCCGCCATTAAACGTCAAACCCGAGGGCGTCAATGGTGCTCCTGTCATTGGGTATAAAGTGGAAGTAGCTCGACGTGTGGACGAGGTGCAGACGTTCTCAGTGGCAGCCATTGGTCCCATCCTAGCGGGTGGCTACAAGGTCACGTTCAAGAACAGTCGAGGCATCGAGACGACGTCGTGTATCCCGTGGAATGCCAGTGAAGTGGCGTTCGAGATGGCACTGGAGGAACTGCCCAATGTGGACAGCGTGGGGGTCTCGAGATCGGCCTTAGGGGCCGCTAAGAACGGATTCGTCTACACGATCACATTCGACGGCGCGTATCTCGTCAGTGGTCGACAATCGGATTTATTGGTGGGGGATACGACTGGATGCCGAGCTGTGCAGCCACCTAACCGGGCGTTGTCATTTGAGGGGGCTCATGTGACGTCAGGTGTCTCTGGATTTTATCCAGAAGTGTGGGAGATTGTGTCGACGGATAGTTCGGGGACGAAAGTGCTTGGAGGGACATTCGACTTGTCTATAGGCTTCGAAGGACAATGGACAGACACGAACCCCGCAGTTACAGCCACTGTGGCTGCAGGATCGAGAACAGCAAAGACTATAGGATCCATGTTAGGCCGTGTGAATCGAGGAGATAAAGTGCGGATTGGAGGAGAAGAGTTTACGGTTCATGCCACCGCTCCGTTTACAGACTTGGAATTACCGCTGGATTCCTATCATGTCCGTGGAGTGACGGTTGCCACTACGATTCAAGTGATGGATACGGCGCTGGGCAACGTCCAAGCTACAAAGACGTCGAATTTGGTCACTACTTCGAGCGATTTCAGCTCTAAAATTGCTAGTGGAGAGCAGGTTCAAATCGGCTCCAAAGTCTTTAAAGTGACGAATGTTGGAGCGAATAGTATGACGTTGGATTCTGCGTGGACTGACGATACAACGCTCCATATAACGGCGTTTGTGCGAAAGAAAGCGACGTTGAGTGTGAATGCAGAGGCAGCGGAGATGAAGAGAGCGTTGAGTGCTTTACCCGGCGTCGGGTCTATTGATGTATCACGGATTGGCCCCACAAAAGCCAATGGATATCGTTGGTATGTTACGTTCCAGTCTCTCAACAGTGTGAGTCTTCGAGTCGACAAGAAGACTGGAATCACGGACTTTGTTGACGTTTACGGTGTTGCCTGTGCCACGTGCACCGTAACAGCGTCAGTCGTACAGGACGACACGCAGACAACTACTCTAACTGAGATCAAGGGCGATTACTTAGCCAACGCAGTTGTGGCTTCACGAGAAGTTGGTGGAGCGATTCAAGAAGTGCAGACGGTCTCTACAAAGGCAACTGCAGACGATATCAGTGGGTATTTTACAGTCAGCTTTCAGTCTGTGGGTGGAGCAGTGATCAACTTTGACGACACTGCAGCAGATGTTCGAACCAAGCTGCAAAGTCTCGCTACTATTGGACGACTAAACGTGACTCGAAGTGCAAACTCCGACTTCGGAGCGACCTGGACGATCACGTTTCTGTCGAATATGGGCGATTTGCCACCGCTTGTGGTTGATGACAAAACTTTACTGAAAGGAACGGGAGTGAATGTTGTGGTACAAGAAATAGTAAAAGGTGTGGATGTCGCGTTGGAGACAATTATTGAAGGACTAGATCCGGGCCGAGACTACTACGTGCGTGCATTTGCTCGGAACGAGAATGGGTATGGTGCGAGTACTACAGATCTACAGCAGCGAGGACGAGGTGCTCTGCCTCTTCTAACAGCCGTAGCAACGTCTCCTGATCCTCCAGGTATCACTGGCATGTGGCCTTTATCCGGGTCGCAAATGGAGCTCCGACTCTCTAACCCAGTGGATCATGGCGACCCTGTCTCGAAATATTTGTTCGAGTATGCAGTGGGTGATACCTTCGGAAAAGTTGCAAGCAAGAAAGTCTTCGTGTATAATTCTCTCGAGAACGACATCGCTGGTACTTTCCGCTTACAGTACGGGGACGATGCGACCTCCTTGTTGTCTGTTCACACCACTGCGAGCTCTCTTCAAAGCGCTCTTAACAGTCTTTCTTCCATTCGTCCCGTATCAGTCTCGCGTGCGTTGTATGTGCTTACGGGCAGTCCTACCATCACGTTTACAGAAGCGAATAACCGCCTCACTACGCCAGTATTGAATGGGATTCAATGCGCGATGCTGGATAAGGGAGCCCGTATAGATGTGGGAGGGAAACGCTTTATCGTTAGAGTGCAGCCTGTGGAGGGTAGCTCCTTTATCGACGTGGAGTTAGGGCATGGCGTTCAAGACTTTACAGTGAATAAGGATTTACTCAAACTGGACAGCTCTGGCCGTGTACGTGGACCGTATGGATACATCTGGACGATCTCGTTCGACAACGACGCTGGGGATGTTGTGCACGGTAAATACCCTGGACTACAGTTGCTGTCTTCGCTGACTTCGATCGACTCTGGTCTAGCGTTACCTGTGAACTCGTACGGGATTGCGCTCGGTCAAACTGGGATTTCTGCCGATCATTACGGCTTCTTTGAGATCAATAACGACGATAAAGTGTGTGATACGTACGTTGTGGGGGCTCCTTCGTTCGTTCAAGTGGTTCGACTGTTTGCTCCGACGACAGCTACGGATGGCGCGTTCAAACTCAAGCTGGGGAGTGAGACTACGAACTGTATTACATTAGGTAAATCTGGAACACTCAGTACTATGAAAAAGAATCTGGAAGATCTAGATCTGGTTTCAAAAGTGACGGTGGACGAAGTAAGGAGATTCAAAGTGACCACAACAACAATAGTCACAGACTATGATAACACCGGTAAACTTACCGTTGCCAGCGCTCTCACCTCTGCCCAAGTGGGTGTTTTACTCAAGGACAGCATCATCCAAGTGAGTCGCAACCCCAACGATTTCTCCAGACATTCCTGTGAGTTTGTCATCGATGCTGCGCCTACTGCTGGACTCACCAAAATTTCTGTTACACCACGAGGATCCTGTGATTATTTTACTGGCGAAACTCGAGTGTTGAAGATTTTGGATTTTCACGACTATCAAGTCCGTTTCTGGGGATATTATCCGACAGGTGAGTGGCCAACGTTACAGTTCGATTACGGTGCATTTGGAACGGGAGCGTGTACACCATGGGCACCTCTAAACTTGCAGGTATACGGACAAGTGCACACCGTAAAATACGAAGGTGTGTGCTCTAAAGGACAAGCTGGAATCCAGACCATTCTCGCAGACGCGTCGAGTACTATTGGAGGCACCTTTACGTTGTCATACATGGGTAAAGTGACTTCCCCACTGTCGTTTAAAGATACAGGGGCGGGTGAGATGCGAGATGCCATCGACTCTATTACTGCATCTGGTACTGTAAACGTTAGTGTGAGTCAGTACGGCGCTTATGGTAAGGCGTGGCATGTTACGTTCGCAAAGGACCAAGACGATGAGGAAGACGCTATTTTCATTCAGCACTCGCGGCTTACAGGACAAAACGCTTTGATTAGCGTATACCCCACCGTTACGGTGTTCACAGATGCCAAGCGAAATGATATCAGTGGCTCCTTCCGGATAACAATTGGTGGAGAAACCACCGAGCCGATCGGATTCTCGGCTACACATATGAAAGTCACACAGGAATTACAGAAACTCAGTGTCGTGGATTCGGTTGTGGCACTTGGCGATAAGAGTGCAGGGGATATTGGAGTCTACGCGTTAGAGTTTACAGCCGATGCAACTGCGAGTAGCAGTCTTTTAACCAATATCAAGCTTGATGGAGCGTTGATTGACCCGACCCGTTTCTTGGCGATTGGAGAAACACTGGTACTAGGCTCACCTCCTGCCTCCTTCACAGTTAAGTCGATGACTCCGTTTGATATCACACTCTCTACGGTCTTTCCGGCCTCGGCGGCGTCACAAAACTATAACGTTTTGGCTGGATTGATCACTAAGCAGACGAAACCCTTACCGGGATACGTTGGTATTACACGACTGATGCAAATTATTGCCGTAGCGAAGTCGTCTAATACGTTTCAGCTGCCTGCAGATCATGGCTTGAGTGTGAATAGCGTGTTTTACGTTGGGCGTACGAAATTCACGGCCACAGCTGTGTCCGGATCGCTCGTTACGACTGATGTGCCTTACACGGGAGACACTATTGCTGCTGCATCTCCGAAGGT